CATTTTCAGCAGAAAATTGCTCAAACTTAGTCAGAATCATCTTGGGTAAATGAGAGTTTTACTTTGTAAAATTAGGATTCCTGCCCCATTCCCAGGGGCTAGGGCGGGGCCCCAAAGGGAACATTTACCAATATTTTCAAATTCTTATCCATTGATGACATGACAAGTATTGTATTTCACTTAGTTTACATGCTGATTTCCACATCACATCTTAACAATAAAATAAAGCTACCAGTACCTATGATATAACTCAGGTGACCGCTAAGGCCCTTGGGCCTCTTGTGTTGAGTTGCCTCCCCTTGTACCTTGTAGCACACACAGACGTGATATCTGGGATACAGTTTGGGAAGAGTGAGCACAACCTCCTGTTCACCTCCTCCTTTGATAAGACAATCAAGTGAGTGGGGGACCTGGTATCAATCTGTTGTTCATTCAACTCCTTATATAAGATTAACAATAGTATATTATGTTGGATTAAGAAATAATGTGAGTTAGTGATGGAGTTTTTGATGCATAATAACAGTAATTGAAAGCATCAAACTGATCATAACAAATGTGGGTTAATGTTATGCCTGTCAGCTCAACTCAGTAGCCTGTTTATGGAAAGTATACAATACTAAATTGATGATGTTGACGGGTATGTCATAATCATATATTACACATATTTTTGTCATTGTATGAAGTAATTTGAGAAAAATGTAGAATAATTTTGTGTTTACATCATCTATTTTCTGTACAGATGCTGGGACACTAGGACCAATATGAAGAATCCAGTACAGACTCTTGAAGGTAGATTTCCATAATAAGAGTTAAAACAAAGTTGATGGGAACACAAATAGAAAAATACAAGAAGAACTAGAACCATTTTTAAGCATAACTGGTGATTAACATGCGCTTAGTAATAAGCTCATCCCTTGACAACAGATTTATGCAGTGAAATTTTTCTTGAAATATACCCTCTCTACTTTATATAGGATTACATCAGAAAACTTAACCTCCACTTTACCTTGTCCCTTTTTCAGAACTTGCCCCCTGAGCTTATCATACAAAAGGATGTTACATAAAATTAATGTTTATGGTAAGATCAATGATTTGTGGATTAGGTGGGGTGACCGTCATAGCTTCAACAGAAATTGTAGTAGTGATGTGATTGACACACAGTCGGTTTTCATTGATTTAAAGCCACAGGAATTAACTTAAAATGTAGACAAACCGGGGACTAGGTACATGTATTCCAGATTGAATAAACACAAAAAATGGTCAAGAAATGACCTGGACATGAACAAGATTACCGAAATATTCAAGTTAACGCACCAGGATATGATTAGTTACTTCTATGGGACCAGGAAATAACACCAATATAAAGTATTTGAGATATCCAGGTTCATAATAACAAGGACTGGCTATAACTGTTTTCAGGCTATGATGAAACCAACAATATTTTCACCAGTTTTGACGTCAACTCTAACGATCGTGTTGTGTGTGCTGGCACTGAGCCTAGGAACAAGAATTCTGAAACTCACATTATCTTTTGGTAAGTATGAATATCAATATTTGGTAGCTCCAAAAGCAGCCCTGTTTTCGACTTTAATTCATTTTATTTCGAGTCTTATCTCTCAAAACTTTTCTTAACTGTTGATTGATAAAGTGAAGCATGTTTTGATTATCATTAATGCAGTAATTCACAGCCTGTTTCTTACAAAGCCGTGAACCAGTGTTCTCACCAATCAAGACTTTGATTCACTTTACATTAGAAAATACTCGATCAGCCCAGAGCCTGGGCAGTATAGAACTGAAGGGCAAGTGAGCTTATGTCATGGCGCGGTGTCTGTCGTCCGTCCATCATTGTCCATCAACTTTTCCTTTAAACTACTTCTTTTGAAGAATGGACAGGCCGAGAGTCATGATATTTGGCTAAAAGCTTCCTTGGTAAGAGCCCAACAAACTTTGAGAATGAAAATGACATTGACAAATTTTCAAGGTCACTGGGGTGTAAAACACTTTAAACGACTTTTGCTGAGTAATCGAAACGTATAGAATTATATAATATTTGATTGGTGGCTTCCTGGGATGGAGCTCAACAAATTTTGGGAATGAAAATGACCTGGATTTACTTTCAAGGTCACAAGGGTCAAATATGTCAAACACTTCAAGCGACTTCTTCTGAAGAACTGAAAGGTAAAGAATCTTATAATTTGGCTGGTAGCTTCTTGGGGTGAAGCCTGGCAAAATTTGTGAGTGAAAATTACCTTGACCTACTTTCAAGGTCACAGGGGTCAGATATTTCAAACGACTTCTTCTGATGAACTTAAAGGTATAGAATCTTAATATTTGGCTGGTCACTTCTTTAGAATCAGCACCATAAAGTTTGAAATTAAATTGACCTTGACCTACTTTCAAGGACACAGGGGTCAATATGTCAAAAACATCAAACGATTCCTGAATAATCGAAAGCCCACAAAGTTTGCAATTGAAATATTTGTAGTTCAGTATCATATTTAGAGAGAATATTTTGCTATGACTGCTTAAATATCAAGGTGAGTGATAGAGACCCTCTGGTCCTCTTGTTACATTGGACAAAATACATAGGTTTGCGATTTTATATTATTAGTTATATACATGTAGGTAGGTTGTATGCATCATACCTGCCATGTTCTCAACAATGAAATGAGGATCATGTATGGCCAAAAAGCAGATAAAGCCTGCATTGCAGGTGATTTGGGAACTTGGGTTTGTCAACTTTTCAAAGTCATTAAAATCATTAATAGATAATTTATAAGATTGAGATTTGCTTTTAATTTCTTGTGTGTCATTCCCAAGTATTTTAATAGCTTTCAAAATGTGATTTTTTGAAAACATTTCCATGTTGGGATAAGCAGCACAGATGCAGGAGATTCAAAATACACTAATTTTGTACAGATCATGGAGGTCAATTGCAGGTTGACCTGCAATAATACAGGTGACTTGGCAGGTATGATGTATAAGGGTAGATAAGAAGAGTAACATGAGCCCATTTCACCAGCATAAAGCCTTTATAATGAACTAGTCATACAATCAATCAGTTTTAATCACAGTGATTCTAAAATTAGTAAATAACCAATTTTCATATTGTGCTGAGAGAGGCAAACCTGGAAATTGCCATGTTTATACTAGATGACACTCCTAGTTAATCTGAACTTCGGTATTTCCCTTTGCAGATGCATTTACATTCACTTTGCATGCATTATATTAACTGCTTGGAATTATAATATAGGAAAGCATAGCTCAGAGATTGGCCAAAGGAATTAGATTTTACTTGTTATTTATGCAATGAAACCTTTCCTCTAAATAGGGAAATGAATCTCTGTCACTGTAAAGCCTGTTTTACTGTTGTAGGGACAGGAGGCAGGGAAGTCTGATGGGGGCCTACAACGAGTCTCACCAGGACGACATTACACAGGTAACATGAGGTCATACAGGTAAAAAATGGCAGTTTGGAAGTTTATTGGAATCATCCTGTTGGTCCATCTCTCCACCCTTTGTCCGAAATGTTGTCAGTCTCCAACATCATCTGTTGGATTTTATTGAAACTTAAAACAGTGATATTGAGATATGCATGAAGGAAGTTGTGATCCATCAATTTCTTCTGGAATTATGGCCCTTGACACTTAAGATTTATGCCCTCAAAACCCTGCATGTGTTACTCCATGCACCTACACCATTTAGTGGATTAAATGGTAACTTTCACATTGAAAGTACATATTTGGAACAGAATGTTGAACAGAAGGTGCAACTCAATAATTACTTTCGAAGTTATATCTCTTAAAAGAACCTTGTGATTCAACAAAATCTGCTGAATACAATTTACCTGTATCCACTTTTATTTACCTATACCAGGTGTGTTTCCACCCTGAGGATCCTGACTGTGTGGCGACTGGATCTACAGATGGTCTCGTGTGTGTTTTTGACCTCGGTCAGGCTACAGAGGATGATGCCCTGAAACTGACCCTCAACTCTGAGTCGTCTGTGGTCAGTACGATAGCTTCATTCTTGTTATACATTGTACGATGGTCAAGGTCACAAGTCCATATCCTAAACACAGGCGATTTACAAGTAGCAATCCGTACTGTAATCTGTAATACTTATTTTCAAACAGCAGTTCCTTGGTACCTTAAATAACCTACTGTACCATAGTAGGAGATACTCCAAGTTCTCTTACAGGGTCTGTATTCATGAAACTGTTCGCATGCTCATACTCAGATTCTGTGCTCGAACCCAATTTCTTGTTCTTGTGAAAAAATAATGGATAAAATCTCATTGTGTCAATGATTCAGAAGAAATTTGGAGAGACTTGAGCCAATTACTGTTTTCAATGTCAACACTTGAATGTTTTATTGTGACACCTAATGTAAGTGACTTACACGAAAGTTGGCTTGAACAAAGAATCCATGCTTGAGCATGAGAATGATTTCATGAATACGGGCCAAGGACAGGGTTTGGGGAAAAATAGTTGGACCCACTTTAATATATTCCAAGTATCGCAATTTTCATGGTTTGTATTTGCTATTATTTGATAAACAATGATTGATTAGTTGATATCAAACGATTATTTTAGATTTTACAATTGCTTGTCACATTTTGTTATTTGTTATAGGCGAAGATCGGTTGGTGTGGGGAACGGAGAAAGGACTTGTTCTGTTTAACACACATTGACACTATGAATGTGTGGGACACACAGAACGATGTACGTATTTATACTTTACACCATGTATTCAGTAACTGACATGTTTCATTATAAGCACATGACTAAATCAAGGTTCAGCTACATCTACGAACAGTAAAACCACTTTTCTACCCGTGATGTTATTTGCTGGTGACGCTACCAAGTTCAGAAATTGCATCTTTTATTGAGAAATCTATCAAATAGGTAGTGGTATTCTCAGCAGAGAACCCAAGAAATTCACTATCAACAAAATTTGTTATTTCTCAATGGTAGACACAGATATAATAACATCGTTTTCACCAAAATGTTTCAATATTTTTACAACATATCTTTTCATCAAAGATTTTTTTTTTTTTTTTAATTTCTTCTTTTTTCTTCTTTTGCAATATCAAAATACTTCCCTTTTTTGTGCAGGGTGAAGATGTGATGGAGCTTAAGGATTTGAAAGAAACGTTAAAGGTAAGTTCACCTTGACTTTTTCTCAAACTTATTGGAACCATGATTATTTTGGAGAATGTATTGCAATAAATGTATTAACTATTTCTATAATGTTTTGTAGCTTGTAGTTTTTAGCTCACCTGGTCTGAAGGACAAGCCATGGCTTGGATTTTATCCAAATTGAGTCTGGAGCATCCTNCCCCCCCCTGGGGACAGAGGGGTGGGGCCGAATAGGGAAATAGAGGTAAACCTTTAAAATCCTTCTTCAACCATAAAGATTAAGGGGTTTTATCCAAATTTGGTCTGAAACATCCTTGGGCAAAGGGACTCAATTTTGTATAGACTGGGGATTTGGACCCCCTGGGGGCAGAGGGGGAGGGGTCTAATAGGGGAATAGAGGTAAAATCTTTGACATTCTTCTCCTAGCTACCATAGAAATAAAGGGATTTGATCCTAATTTGGTCTTGAGCAGCCTTGGGCAATGATGACTCAGTGTTGAATAAACGATGGGGAGTGGCCCCTTTTGGTGCAGAGGGGTGGGGCTCAAAAGGGGAAATTGAGGTTAAAATCATTAAAATCCTTCTCCTTCTGTACTTATGGAGGGATTTTATCCACATTTTACCTGGAGTATCCTTTGGCAAAGGGGACTGAATTTTGTATAAATGGAGGGTATAGTCCCTTTGGGTGCAGAGTTGTGGGGCCCAATAGGGGAATTTTAGGTTTAAGTCTTCAAAATCCTTTTTCCTCCTTACCATTTGAGGGATTTCATGCACATTTGACCTGGAGCATCCTTGGGTGAAGGGGAGAAAAATTTGTATAAATGGAGGGTGTGGCCCCTCTGGGGGCAGAGTTGCGGGGCCCAATAGGGGAATTTGAGGTTGAAATCTTTAAAATCCTTCTAATCTTCTTCTGAACCATTGGAGGTATTTCATGTAATAAGAATATTTTCCCATGATTGTTTTATTATCCAGGTGAGCGATACAGGCCCTCTGGGTCTCTTGTTGGTAATTGAAACAGTTCTACCAGCTGTGATATAAATTGAACAAGGATAGGGGATATCAAAGTTTGGCGTACTTCATTTTAAATGTCAGACCAGGTTATAGGATCTGATGGGGGAATCTGACTGGGAGCAATTAATGGAAGACATATCTGTACTTTTGAATTTAAAATTAAATGCACTGAAAAATTTGATCAGTTGAAAAAAGGTTGTAGAAAATAGAGTGTTCAAGTACCTATGTTTAATCTTTATATTTGACATCTTTGAAGATTTGAAAAAAAAAAATCTTTTCTGTTCCCTAAAATTTATTGGGATGACTAGGGCCGTTTAAACAGTTGAACCAGTAGGACCACAGTTGTTCGTTTATTAAATAAGGTCAGACCTAATAATCTGATGCCGCTTTCAGGCGAGCCTTGACAACCCCTTGCAAGGCCTGCATAAACATTTGCAGGTCTGCCAGGATTTACACTAGAAATTGTTACATTTAAAAACAGACAAACCGGCTGTTCTGCATAAACGAACAGGCCCTAGGTTTATACAATGGTTATTCATTGCAAGGCTGACCCAAGATGTAAAAGGGAGCAAGGCCTGCATACTGAGGAATAAGAGGGAATAAAGATAAAGCTTATGTATATGATGTAAAACAGCTGTCAAAACATAATACATGAATGTTTATTGAACTTTTACCAAACATGGGAGCCTATGGGAGTAAATCCTGGTGTGATGGTGTACAGGGATGGTGTTCCTTACAAGGGAGAAAACTTGTACTGTGTTAGTCAAATACCTGAAGAGGAGTTACCTCCCCTGGGTTGTTGATCCAAACACCTGTTGTATGCTAAAACACTGGGGAAGGAGCCAAGTTCTGTCAGTAAACAAGACCAGTCCATCAGGGTGTGCCAAAGTTAAGGAGGTCAGCTTAAAATGTGTGCTCAATAAACTGTTGATAAACACTTTCAAGTGTTTGATGTTGATAACATTGTTTTCTCTATAGCTGAAATGGATTTTACCAAAATGTCCTTGGTTCAAGGTCATGAGAACTTAATAAGGTTGAAAATGAAAATATGACTTATGTGTACTGTTTATCAAACACCAGCTGGGTCGGTTTGTTTGTAACAAAGATTCTTTTTATTTCGAGTGCTACTTATCTCAATAAAAAATAATTCATCAGTGTACAAAGGTTTTCTGTACAAGTGATATGAGCGATATATCTAAATGAAGTAAATATTTTCCACATCAATATCTGTGTATATGCTACTAGTACTTATGAATATATTCAATGGTCAGCAATTATTTTATACCAATTTTGAAAATGGTTCAGAATATAAAATCAAGATGAGTTTTCTGTGAAGTTGTTATGGAGTTAAATATGTCACGCACCTTAATAGAACAGATATCTGTCATCAGCTCTTACAGATGTAAATCATTATCACGTTTTAATTTGGAATTAAGTTGATCACAAATTCTGTTTTAGAAGAAAATGTTGTTATACTACAACCATTTGTCCAGCTAAATTCTGGTGTCATCAGGAGAGATGTCGTAATATATCAAGGGAAAGGTATCAAAGAAGGGAGCTGGAAATATGTTATCATTTGTAAAACAAAGGAAATAAAATGAGACACATTTTCGTGTTTATGTTTCACTCACTCATGGTATTTTAAAATCATTACCAGGTAATAAAAAAAAAGTATGAAAAATATAATGTTGATATAAGATACTAAATTCCTCCCTTTGGCATAGAATGTAGGATGAGAAATCTGAGGGAATCACATTATCATTTGGATGGTGTTTGAAGTTGAAAATATATTTTAATAACAAGTACGGTAGAAGTCAAATTAATTATGACTTGTTCAGAAGTTTTTAGGTCACCTGAGCTTTAAAAATCTAATATGACCGAAACGGCCGCCATTTTGAAAAAAACTATTTCAAACTGAAAGTCAAGTTCTGCTAGGCCGATTGAACTGAAACTTTGTAGGAATGATCAACTCATGGTCCTGACAAAGTGTTGCTATTTTTTGGGTCAATCAGAAATCCAATATGGCTGCCACTGCGCTGCCATTTTGAAAAACTATTTCAAACTTAAAGTCAAGTTCTAATGGGCCGATTAAACTGAAACTTTGTAGGAATTATCGACTTATGGTCCTGACAAAGTGTTGTTATTTTTGAGGTCGATCAGAAATCCAATTTGTCTGCCACGGCCGCTTTTTTGAAAATAACTATTTCAAACTTAAAAACAAGTTCTAATAGGCCAATTTAACTGAAACTCGGTCTAGGAATGATCAGATCAGCTCATGGTCCTGACAAACTTAAGTTAACGTTATACTTAACTATTTTTTACAACAAAAATAAATACTGTAGGACTCTGGTGACCGGTAAGGCCCATGGGCCTTTTGTTTAAATAAAGTTTAGATTTAATATCCTACATGTGATGTATTTTATTAAAATCAACATGTACATTTGTAGTCATTCTATCAAAAAACATAAATTACGTGGTTACCCAATGATGTTTGGTTTTTAAAGGACTGTTAAATTGATGCTCAAAGTGCCAGGGTACAGAAAAAGCCAAACATATACAATGAATTTATTGAACAAATATTGTATGAAAAATGAAAGATCATATGCAGGAAAGATGAAGGAGTTTAAGAAAAAATATATTCTGTCATGTATAAAATCGTAGCTTATTAATCCATTTTTTTCTCTTAAAAAGTTTACGAAATTTCTTAAGAAATGCAACCTACACAGTGTTTGATTGTGGGGATGTCCCAGCTGGGAGGGCCAATATTTAGACTTTATGATCTTGTTTTCTAAAGCCGTTTACATCTTCAATAACTACCAATTACATGGAAGAACACACAATCTCAAAGAAGTCTATTTAAATGTTTGTTCTGTGAAGTTTAAGAGAGGGAATGGTACAAGGTACTTCACAAGTAATGAAAGGACTAGCATGAAGGTGTCGTATGTCACTACCGGGGCTAGTGGCCAGCACAACCCAATAGGAGACATTCCCCAGCGTGACCATTGAACTTTATTATGAAATTTAGATATAATTCAATGAGTCACAAGGTCACTTGATTTCGAGCAAATTTTAGGAGTCTAATATTGAGGTTTTGTTTTATGTTGTAGATGTCAAAGCTGTATGCTAGTACATGTGTACTTTGTGAAATCCTATGAGAAACACTCTCCTGTTATAATGTTTCAGCAAACGGACATTAGAGTACAAAGAAACGGTAGAAAGTCATAGAGATAATGGTTCTTGAAAATTATCTTTGATCTTCTAAGGTGTTTACTTAGGTCTGTGCTTTGATTTCTGTGGTCATATTTCACAATTGTCAGCCATAAGAATATATAGTGTAGACTTTAAACTTCACACCTCTTTAACACTTATATCCAGATTTATATCTGTAGATTATTTTCTGTACAGCACCGTTCACTCTCGTTTATATGATTTCATTTTCAACGACAAGAATGGAAATATTTCTCTGCATCTTTAGTGAAATTAGATCTTAACATATTTGACCTCTGTTATGCTAATCAGCCCTGTTAGCACATTCCTATTTAGGGGCTGCAGATGCCAAGTGGTTAAGGTGTCTGACAGTCTGCGATAACTGACCCTCCACCACTGGGTTGTGAGTTCAAGGCCTACATGGGGCAGTTGCTGCTAGGTACCGGCTGCAGGTCGATAGTTTTTCTCCAGGTACTCTGGTTTCCCGGCACTACCAAAACCTGGCTCATCTTTAACGAACCCTAGCTGTTAATAGGACAGAAAGCACAAACAAACCTAACCAAGCAAACCTATTTTGGAAAAAAGTGTGCCAGTGATGTAGCGGAGATTTATCACAATTGAAATAAAAATACTGTAAAGGATTATTTGTGGGGTTCCTAATTGAATTATTTCGCAGTAACGAGTTTTCCAATACAACTACAATCTGCAAAATTGACCATTTTAGCAAATCCGTAAAAATCTGCCTGAGTACTTCTGATAATTTTTTACACATAATCAAATAAAAGAAGTGTTTATAATGTATGA